CTTGTTAAATATTTACTATTCAAGTCCATTATAGAAGATCATTAAAATGCCTCTTTTGTTTTGTAACTTTGTTTGTTTCCTAGTTATATTATCAAATCTAGATAACTTTATAAAAGTTGTTTGATTCCAGGTGATGTGGTAAGAAAATCTTCTGCTTTTAATGAATAGAAAAAGTTAAAGATTTTCAAAAGTATCTATGCCACTCTTGAAAATCTGACTCATCATTGAGACTTGTTGATATAAACTGATAGGCAATAACATTTACCAGAGTTTGTTGACCTGACAGTTAAAATATGGAATAAGTTGATCAATGTAGAGGGGAGACTTAGGACCAGGGCTCACTTGACATTATGGATATTTTTCTCTCAATATATCTAAGCTTGAAATGATATGAATATTTTTATGTTATTGAATAAATTAATGAGATTAGCAGAAAGATTAAATTATTAGTGTTCTAATAAGACTCAACGTAGCTTTCCCCAGTTTTTAATAGGAAACAAACATTTGGAAAAATTAGCTATCACTTCCTGTAAAAAGTATAATTCAGTTAAACTAAAAGCTTTCATCACAGTGTGACTACTTACAACTTTAAAATATATAGTTTGTATACAAAGTACATACAAAAATCTAAAATTACTTTGGAAATCTTGCTATGAAAACTAAATTAAGCAGTTACATCTTCACAATCTTAAAATGGTTTTTGATGTAGTTAAGTGGCGTTTACTGGTAAATAAGTCTGTTCCTTGCTACCGAAAATGGTTCTGCAAGGTAAAAATTACAAATTGCCACAGTGTTTTACTGCCACACAAAATTTGAATTAACATATGCGAATATATTTTAGAATACATTTCTGTCAACATGCCTAGTAATAGCTTTATGGCAGCCTAAATGGTGTATTTTCAACTATTCCTATAACAGTGTACCTATTTCCAGTTCAATAGCAGTTGTGCTTATAACTAGTTGTCTAAAATTATATTCTTCAATTTCTGGGTTAACTCTTGTATGGTGGAACTGGTGGCAAGATAGCGTTTAGTATAAAATGTCATCCTTAGAAATAGTAGTGAAGCTTGTGGGATTTGCAGTGTCATGGGAAATCTCACTGCTTAACTACTGGGGCATGGTGAATGAGTGGACTTTGAAGTGTTTAAATTGAGATTATAATGCTCCTCACCAGTTCAGGTCTTTGCAGCTTTTTATCATTCGTTATAGCAAGTATTCACTGCTCAGTTTTAAAACACACTTAATTTCCAAAGTTCTGTTAGTAAGCAAGCCCAGTCTACATAAAACTAAAATTTTGAATTGGTATTGTAAACTATAAACTGATTGGATTGGATTTGTTAGAGTTCATATACAAAAAAAGAGTTTTTATTGGGGCGGGGGCGGTGGGGAGACACACCTATGGTGCTCCAAGAAGTGATTTTGGCAATTCAGTGAAGGGTGCTAGTGCCTGAGTAGTTCTGAGCCCACACCCAGTGATGAAAGATTCTTTCTTGAAGCCAATGCATTAAACAAGGCCTTCTTGAAGAACCAGTTAGTGTGTTTATGGGTGTGTTAAGCACCGATTATTAAAAATACCTAAGACCTTGAGACCCAAGATATTGTTTATAGACAAAGTATGTCTTAATCTGTTTCACTTTATGTACTTCCCATATTACCAAAAAAAAAAAAGCTGTGTAGTAGAAACTGTTGACTGTTAAATAAGAGTAAAGGAAAATTAGAATAAAATGTCTCTCAAAATTCATAAGAAGTATAACATATTTGAAGACAAATAGATTTTATTATCTTATAACCATGAGAATTTCATCAAAAGTAAACTGGCTACAGTTTTGAGATTATAAAAGTCATAATCTTTCCAATGTTTGTAACTGGAATCAAGTATCATTGTCTTTATTTGTGATCACTTGTTAATTCGGCAAAATGGCAAAGACATGAGATCAAGTACACTTTGATAGTTACGCTTATGAATGAATGAAATTAGTGGAAAAGAGGTGGAAGGTTTTTTTTTTTTCTTTTTTTCTTACAAATTTTAATCCCTCTAGAACTAACTAAATCATCTTAGGTTTTGTCTTCAGTATAGTGTTAATGCCATTTTGCCTAACTTGAATGAGAATGGTCACACTCATAAACGATGTTTGAGCAGCAGAGAGTTGTGGAGTCCGCTCTGCATTACTAGCTCCAGCATCAACATGCCCCCTGATGGGCCAGTTAGCTCAAGTGTACAGAATCACTTAACTTGAGCTAGAGCTTTTTATATGTAACAGGAGTCTGGTTAGGAGCAACACTAAGGGCTGGTCTTCACTGTGGGGAGATCGGGAGATCAGTGCTGCTGCAATCAATGCAGCAGGGGTCAATTTAGTGGATCTAGTGAAGACCCACTAAATCGACGGCAGAGCACTCTCCAGTTGACCCCGGTACACCACCTCTCTGAGAAGAGTAAGGTAAGTCGACTGTAGAGTGCCTCCCATCGATGCAGCACAGTGAAGACACCGGGGTAAGTAGACCTAAGCTACGTTATCACGTAGCTAGAGTAGCGTAATGTAGGTCAACTTACCCCAGTAGTGAAGGTAAGCCCTAAGTTATACCTTGAGTTAATACTGTAGTGAAGAGAAGCCATAGAATGTGAAACATTGGGGTGTGGACATAGGTTGACACAACATTCTGCTTCAGTGGAAATTCCCTCCTACTGAACAGGAGGGAAATACCCATTCCTGTGTTAAGATCTGGCAAAGCTCTGTTTTCTCTCCAGAAGAGCTTTCTTAAATCATTTAAGTAACCTGGTCTTTTTACTAAATTGTGTAAATGAGAATCACATCACAAACATTGCAAAGACTGACAATAACAGGCTCCAAATACAACTACTCTTTTCCTGATACTTCTCCACCATCACCCAGAAAATCAGCCTTGCATTAGTGTGTTCTGAGTGTAGAAAAAACAAGCAGCACATTCCCCATTTTTAGAAAACGGGTTGGGGGGAGCCTGAGTGAATTTTTACCATGTAACACCTTTGTCCTTGTCACACACTCCACACTTCCTTCATAAAAATCCTTTTGATTTCATTCTAGCAGTTTGACTAAACCCTTAAAGGCAAGACAATCCAAAGCAAAAGCTTTCAAACTGTTCTTGGTTCACTCTGGGCCTCTTAGTAACGTCAGTAGCTGATTGCCCTAGCTTTTGGGCCTCAGAATAGTTAACCTACTATATATACATAAAAGGAGGCATGTCCCTTTCCTGATTTGCTCACTTACAACAAATCTTTTCAACCCTAAGCAAAGATTCTGACTGCAGTTTTGACATTTGTAGGTAAAGATCATGGATTCTATCCAAGTTTGTGGTAGTTCAGTTGAAACTGAACTGGGACTAATGGGTCGTGGTTTCTCTGGATGACGTTCAGCCTTATGTTAGGCCTGTTTTGATCAAACTGATTTAGGAAATTTTGCTGAGTGCAGGTTCCTATAAGAGGAAAATAATGTCTGTACTAAAATGGGCTTAGTGTGAAAAACATTTTATATTTAATATACTCCGTATTAATGTTGAATAGTCAAACCTGTTCAAATCTGCTGTTAAAAAGTGTTATCTTTCCTAATTTAAGATGATTTCTTCTCTCACTCCATTTTAAATATTTAGGGGGCTGTACCAAAAGGAAATGCCACTAAAGAATACATGGAGAGTTTGCAGCTGAAACCAGGGGAAGTGATCTACAAATGTCCAAAATGCTGTAGTATCAAACCAGAACGTGCACATCATTGCAGGTATATCATTATTTTCTTTAAAGTAAACATTCATAAAGATATTTGAAAGTGAAATTCTAAAAAAAGTGTAAAGTAGCTAATGAACATGGTCTGCAGGTTTCTTGCTTTGATTTAATGAAAGTTTTGCAGACTTTTTACTACAAAACTGTGTATATTTGTCTAAACTTCGGGTGGAGCAGGGAAGAAGCCTAAAAGTTTTAAAGGCTTTCATTGCTATTTGGTAAATTTTGTTGTAGAACAGAAAGTTTTTCCTCTTATCATTTACTCCTTTAGCTAAAACCTTAAAAAAAAAAAAAAATCTTTTATATACTGGTCTTACTTTGATATTGGATTCTGGAGTTATTGTTCCGGTTACAAGAGTCATTTTAAATGAAGAAATTAATTTCAAGTACATTTGAAATGGCCACCTCAATGTGTGCTCTTCCTGAAACTTCAAAAAGGTCTGTTCAAAATGACACGTTCCTGAGCATGTGGATTGACTATTCGGTTGTTGTTTTTTTCCTAGGCAGCATGGATAAACAGTTTGTTAAACCAATTAAATATTCTTCAGTTCATTGGAGAATGTTCTGAGTAATGAAAGATGTGATTATCATAATCTTGATTAGGATGTTGTATAAAGTATAGTAAATCTATCTACTTTAAATTCACTCTGTTCCTGTTAGCTTGAAAGCATATTTTAGATGTACCTGTAATGTTCAACCACTGGAAAGATTAACTTAAATATGTCTGTCTCTATGTAAAAATAAGAGACTTGTAAATATTTGTATACTATGTATGCATGTTTATATACACAGAGCTACATATGTGTAATGTTTTTAATAGAACCTCTCTGTATAGAGTAAGGCATATCCAGCTGTGTAATATATTGACAGTTTCTGCTCACCTAAAGGATGCGAGTGAACTTTTGTTGGAACTCTAAAATGCAAATCATTATGGAAATAACTGTAAAAAAAATCTGCAGTTGATATAAATTATCTGTTTTGTCACTCTAGTTGTGGTAAGGTTATGGTTGAGAAGTCACTTCCATTATAAGCTGTCTGTCTTGGAGCTGAAATCTTGTTCTTATCTTAGATGTGAATTTTGTTTTAGTATGTGGAGTGGGGAGGAAAAGTTCCATGTAAATATGTAATCATTGTTAAATTATCTAACCGTGAGAGGGGGAGAGTCTCTTCAGTTGAGCCTTCATACATGTTCTTTATACACAGAACTCAAATGCTTTTTGTTTTTAGACCTAACAAGGACTTAGCCTGTAAGGAATGGTGCTTGTGAGGATCAGAGCCTTTGATGATTTCAATTTTAAGTGTTTTCTTTAAGCAATATGATTATATTATTTTCAGAAGGTTACAATTTTACTTTCCCGCACTTTTGCAAGCTCATAGGTCAGATGTCCAGATAGACACAAGCATTGTTTAGTCATCAGACAGTAGAACAGGAGCCAAGAAGTGCGTCTCCTAGCCTGGTTCCTGGAAATCTGTCTCCCAAGTTCCTCTGTAACTGGCTCTTTATTGGACTTAATCTCTGCCTTAGCCTACCTATTAAATAGATTGTAATGGTAAAGCACTTTTTAGACCTTCGATTGAAAGGTACTCATGACTATTTTGGTGTCTCTAGGAGTCTTTTTTTGAGTCGTCTTTTACATGCAAAAAATGCTATGGAAATGCTATGATAGCATTAAGATTGAAAATTTAATTGCACAGATCAGGAAAACAACTTTCAAAGCATCCATAACTTGGGGTGGATATGTAGGTTAACACTATATAGGAATGGAAAATGCTCTTGTTAAAAAGGGCAAGCAAGCTTACTTTTGGGAATCATAACTGAGATTGTAATCACATAATAGAGAAAAGTTTCTAACATTGCATTATTTTTCTAAATTCAAGTCTTTAGTGAGTGTTGTTACTTTGGTTGCTTCCTTGGGATGGTTTTAAAATAAACCTATCTGAATATATTTATTGATAATACACCAGAACTATTCATTTATTACTGTTGAAGTTGAAGAGATTTAATTAGGAAAATGAAAAATATTTATTACTTAAATGGGCAGTTTGGGGAAAGACAGCAGCAAAAGTAGCAGCTGTTTTATTTTGCACTGTAGAATGTTGAGATTTTGATTGGATTCTTTTGCAACTAACTTCAAGAGAAATGTTGGTTGATAGCCCTTAGGTCTAACAAAGAGATGTGGTGAGAGATTTCTGGAATTTGTCCAACAGACAAAGCCACACACACAAAAAGCAGATATAATTTGAAGGCATGCGTTGAACAGCCCATTGGTACTGGTCCAGCAGTGGAAAAGATGATACTACATCTGAATGTATGTTATATATCATATGCTGCTCCTGATTGAATCTTTTGTAATTTAATGATATAGATAGATTTTATTTCTGAGAAATGAGAGGGAATTGACAATTTACAAATGAAGTTTAGACTGTTCTCTGAAGCATTTTGCCTGTGCGCACATGTTCAGTATATTTGATGGAGCTGTGTGGGTAGTAAAACAGCTGTGAAAATTTCTGGGGGGATTGAAAATCTCCCTTTTAGCAGATATTAGGTCAACTTTTCTATATTCTGAACCAGATTTACAGTTTGGATATCTGTAAGATGAACTAGGTACTTTCTGCCAAATTTTGCTTCTGGCTGTTTTTTTACCTTGAATCTGGAAAGGATTGAAGCTCTACTTACATGGTGTAGTCGTAGCTACAGGGTTATTAAAAAATAAAAAATACACACAATTGGATGTACACATTTATCCTTTTTGGAGCATGGCAATATTCATTTTAGTGGGTATGAAACAAGTCTTTTCTATAAAGTCATTTACACTCTCAGAAGTCATGGCATAAATTTTTTTGAAGAAAACATATTGCTCTAAATTGGTAAACCACAACAGACAAAACTAGTTTAAGACCTTTGCTTTGTTCCCTTCAGCTTTCATTAAATTCTGCATATTAATTTTTGGCTGAGACATACTACGTGTTCTTTCCTACAGTGAAATTTAAGATCCTTTTAAAAAAAATAAAAATAAAATAAGTGCCTATTTCTCTCTTCCCGTCCCCCCTCCAAGTATTTGCAAGCGATGTATTCGAAAGATGGATCATCACTGCCCCTGGGTGAATAATTGTGTAGGAGAGAAAAACCAGAGGTTTTTCGTGCTGTTTACGGTGAGTACAGATTACCAACAAATTGTTCTAAATATGAAAATTGCTCGCTATCTAGCCATACCCTTACTTTTGGGGGAATTCTGCACCAAAAAATTAAATATACACAAACATTTTATTTGACAAAATAACACAATATAATCAAGCCAGTTTCAATTATTTTGGTAATTTATTTCAAAATACCTGTTAACAAGTATGTCTCTAACAATATAGACAACAAACAAAGATTCAGGAAGTGTTTTTTGACAAGTAGATTCCTTACTAAGCATATTAATACAGAATTTTGAATAATCAGTCATATGAACTACAATACAGAACTGTATTTCCCACACCCTCAGAAGCAGTGCAGAGGCTTGAAGGAATCCAGGGTAACGAAGGAGCTGAGGGAGAGGGAAGTAATTGCTGGGAAGAAGCCTGGGAATGAACCTGGAGGGTAGTTGGGTGTGGGTGGGAGAAGTATGGAACAGTTTTGTACCCAACGGAAAGGGGCAGCACGTCCGGCTCTTCGGTGGCAATTCGGCGGTGGGTCCCTCAGTCCCTTTCGGAGGAAAGGACCTGCCGCCGAATTGCCGCCGAAGAATGAAGCGGCAGCGGTAGAGCTGCTGCCGAAGTGCTGATCGCGGCTTTTTTTTTTCCCGCTTGGGGCGGCCG